TTGTCGGCCAATACATTGGTTTCGCAGACAAAACAGATGACATAACTTTCTTTAGTTTATTTGATCGAGCCTCACCCTCAATTCTTGTGTTCATCCTTTGGGATAGATACAAGATTTGAGGTAAAGTGCTCTTTCATCTAAACTATGAAAATTATGGGGTCAGTTTGATTTCATCTTTTTCAAAACTAAAATTTTTTTTAAACGTCCTTCCGAAGCGGGCAATGGGATTTCAATTCCGATGACCGACGGCTTCTTACGGGCAAACCCCACACCAAAAATAGTGCTGACATACATATATATTTAAAACTTATATTTGGTGATATTGTACTTGAAAGAAATGTATTTTCATATTTTGTTGCAGGTATACTAAGTATAGGCATTTGGAGCTCAAAGGATGCGAAAAAAACACAAATTTGGAGTTAAAAGTGGTGTTTTCAAGAAATTGAACTGGCGCCTAGGCGCCACAACTGGCACCTATGAGCCAGAATACTGAGAAGGCAGTGCCTAGGCGCCAGAAATCTAGCGCCTAGGCACTAGAGATGGTTATTTCCACAAATGCATTGAATTTGAACAGATTTTGAAGAGGTGCCTACAAAAACTCTTGGGAAATTCATCCCTACATTATAAAAGAGTGTTTTAATGTAAAAAAAAGTGGTGCGAGTGAAGGGGGCATAGCTATCAAAGTGTGGGAGAGCGTGGTAAGTGTATATAAGAGTTGTAAGAGGAGAGGAAAAGTCAGAGATTTCTTCTTCCTTACATTTTTAAGAGAGATTTGAGTATTATTATAAAGAGAGAAAGAGATTCAAAAGAACTTCAAGGGATCTGCTTGGGAAAGAGATCTAGTTAAGATGTTTTACTTTTCCTTCTAGTTTTGTAAACTTGTTTTTATATATAAGATCCATGTTTTGTTGTATCTTTCTCATGAATTCTGAGTATAATTTTTTGTTCTTCTCCCTATAAAGAGAAATAGTCATGTGAAGAATCTAAATTATTGTGCAATATTTTAATTTCACAATTGTGATGATTCAAACTTCAAACTTCATTTACATTTCGATCTGGCCAATTCCAATTTAATTGTTAAAATTTAATTTATTGTGAAACATACGATCTGAGAGGACTATGCTTTCTACAACAAAGTAAGAATCACATTTGATTTCATGGATAAGAATATAGTCCATAGGGTTGAGTTTAAATAAATAGGGAAATATTCATTGATGGTCATATATTTAGAGATTTTAGGGTGACAAACTAAAATCTACAATTTTGTCCAGACGTTTGGAAACTAAAGTGAGATTTTAGCCCTCAGGCATGGGGAATGTGGGAATATTGGAGTGAGAGCCAATATCTTTCCAGCCTAACCGCAGATTTAGGGACTAAATGAGAGCCAGTATCTTTCCAGCCTAACCGCAGATTTTGGGACTAAGCACAAGATTAGCCAATGTTTTTTGTCGCTTATAAAAAAAGAATAAAGAATATAATTGCTTCTATTTGATACAGTACAATTTTTCGTCAATTTGATAATTCACTGACTATAAACTCGTTGTAAAGGGGATGATGTTTTCTTGAATTTAAACTCTTCGTCACAAAACTTACTTTAGTTTTAGTAAATTTAGCTTTGAAGTTTAGATATTAGTGTAGTAAATGTAGTTTCGTTAGTGAAATTAAACAAATTTTGACATGTTTTCTTACTTAAGTTTTCTATAGTTTAAATATTGTGCTTTTGCGTGATTTTCCTAACAATTTTTCACCTCCTTGTGATATCAATGCTTAGACTCCTTTAGAGTCCTTTATTACTTGAGTGATACGTATACTTGTGTTTGCAACCTATTGACAATTTGAAATGGAAAATATACATTAATTCACTAGGAGTGGTAACTATGAATAATTTAAAAGAGAAAATTTATTATGTTGAAGTAAATTTTATTGAGATTAATCTGCATATTTTTTATTATAGTTGTATTGTGTGGAATTTTCTGGCCATACGTTAAGCCCACGAGTTTTATACTTTTTGTAGGTCAAGCTACGATGGATAGAATGAAAAACTCATAAGTGTCAAAAACACTTTTTCATGTAACACTAGGTGGACTTACTTTTTTATGAGTCCTTCCATTGGCTTTGGATGAGAAGAATAATATTGGTTAAGTTTTTTAAACTTTGTGTTTGGTGGATCTATTTGTTCAGCCCGGAGCAAAGTCTTTACGTGCTCATATTAGAGGATAATTTTTATTTGCTCGTCCTAAAGTAGATTCCTAATTTGCTCGTACCGACAAAGCTTCTTATTGAACCATTTAAAAGAGTTCTAATACTTGACAAGAGTTCTTTCGATTTTCGAAGTCACCTGCAGTCTTTCATTTCGAAGATGCCCCGAAAGCCCCCACGACCTTTACATTCTGCCCCACCTCAAGAACACCTATCCCACCACCCACCCACATTCACACTAGATTCTCTACCAGCACACGTTTTTTGTTGGAGAAATCCATTTCTCACAAATAAAAAATAAATAAAAAAAGTAACGCCACAGTCTCTATTTTTTACATACTACAAACTTATTAATTATCATTAAAAAAGTGTATTTTTCAGATAGAGGGAGATGAAATATTATACACGCATTTCTATGAAATATTTTATTCACACCGCCGAGAAGAACACGACGGGACCGGATTCCTCCTGTGCGGCCATCGTTCGGTCCGACCTGCCACCGTTGGGATTTAAGGTCGGGGACCAAGAAACCTTCTCGAAAGACGAAGACGGATACGAATGCACAAAATCTTCAAATCCCACTTCGTAGGACCCCCCCCCGCCGGCAGGCGGCGGGCTTGGAAGCTCCGGCACGCCTGTCGGATCCCCGTCCTCAAGAAACCTCACCACATCCCTCATCTCCGGCCTCCCTGCCGGCACCGGATGCGAGCACATCAGACCCACCCTCAAAGCCACCTCCACCTCGTCTTCGTCGAACTCCCCGACTAGCCGTGGATCCACCGCTTCTCGCCACTTTCCCGATGCCCATTTCTCCCACACCAAATCCACTAATACTAGCTCGTCGGGCAGCGCCTTCGGCTCTATCGGCCGCCGCCCGCACACCACTTCAAGCACCAGCGCCCCGAAGGCGAATACGTCGGGGGGCGTTGGGGCCTT